TTTTATATGTTAATCATATCAACATACAACGAGCACAATCTAGGAGTTCTTTTTTTATGATAACTGGCATAACGCTACATAGAAAAGCACCAGCACTCGGGACAGGCAGGTTTATAGTTTACATCCGATGAGACGACATCCTATTCAAATAACATTCTGTGTTTTTAATGGTCCAGGCAAAATATACTGTACTGTAAATATACTTTGTGATTTTGTCAGACACTGCTGTTTGGGTGCGAATATACCTCAACACAACTAAAATAAACAAAACAACATATATGCACATCCTGTTTTAATCTAAAGTTTGCCAATTTGCGTCAGTGTGTGATGCGTATATGATTTGTTGAAATGACGCGACAAAACAAAGAAAAACACGCAGTGTGCACATCCTGTCTTCAACTGAGGTTTACCAGTTTCGTCCGCATTGATACATTATCTAATTACTTTGATTCAACTTAATTAAAATTTAATAATATGAAAGTTTAGAGCTTCATGTTTTCTAGTTTAGCTGTGCTGCACTCTTTATCCGGAGACGATGGTCAAGATTAGTACGAGAACTTTTAGTTTACCTCATTTCCGATGCAGCGTGATCAAATATTTCACCCAGAAAATGTATAGTTTAGTCATGATTATTCAGTACAATACGCTCAGATGCTTGTGCAAGCTGTTATTGAGCGAACAATTTTACGACTAGCGGAAATTGCAAGACCACAGGTTTTCCAGATGAAACGGCACCTGGGTTTAGTTTTCATTACACTCGTTTTGTTTTGAGTTGGTTCGAGTAAGTGAATTTAAGTTTTTTTTTACAAATTTGAAGATGATCAAATGCATCAAATGTATTTCCTGTGTAAGCATTGTAATCGTCGACAATAATTAAATTAAAGACATAAGAAATGTTCGCGATTTCTGAGCCGTGATTTTGCATATCTTGCTCGGTTTGGTGTACTGCTTTTCCTCCAGAGCCGTAAAAAAGCTGAGAGCATGACAGTGGTATCCTAAAATACCTGGAAAATGTGCAGAATTAAAATTCAATAAAAGTGTGTAGCTCAGTAGTTTGTAGATTCTGACTACCATGCTCGAACGAAGTAATTGCTTCTGATTTTGTCAGACACCACTGGTTGGATGAAAAATATTGGTCAGCCAAGATAAGTAGTGGTAGTTAACGAAAATCAACTCCCGTATTATTCAGTCGATATATTGACTGGCTGCACCCAACATAACAAATCAGCGGTAAAACACGAATCATGTGTGGCACCATCTTGAAT